ACGCACTATCAAGGGGCCAAGTCCTCTTTTACTGGTTCGCCAGTTATTTTGCTGTGGACTACGGTCCAGTTCCCAACTTTGCGTACCCTTCGGGGAGAGCGCATTAAAATGGTTGGCGCTCACCGTGCGCGGCGTGTGTGGGGCAGTGTACCTCCTCCACATTTTTTTTAAAATGTGGGAGAGCGAAGCCCTTGTAACTGGTATTAGATATAAATATTGTGAGCCTTTTCCAAGCGGGAAGGGATTAATTAATAAGGAATTGACTGTTGTGAACCAGATACAAGTGGAATAGGGACAATTTATTGTTCTTAACCTTTTTGAGCTCTGTCTTCGTGAACGGGGTTCTTTAGCTTATAAGACTCTACCAACAGCTTTCGATTGCTCTCGTGAATATTCATTCTTCCAAGATATACCTAAAAGAACTAAGTTACTATACAAACACAACGCAAAAAAGGGTCCTAACTAAGACAATCACGCCATAAATTTATTAAACGGCCTAAACCTTTAGAAAGATCAAGTTATACTGGTCACGTAAATTAGATATATTTATATATCTTACAGATATAGATTCTAAAGAAATACAAGTATAAGTGGATATATAGTAGAAAAGAAAAAAGATGGGGGGGGGGGGTTCGTTACAATATCAATGATATGTTGCAAGCCGGTAGCATTCATTGATATGCGGATGACAGCACTGGTGATGCTCTATACACCGGCCGTGCCAATATTTCTCGGGAAAACGTCACCGAGTACCGGAACAAACTTGTGTCTGAAGTGGAGTCTTTGCTGGACAAAGTCTCGGATTGGGGGCGACTAAATCTAGTCCAGTTTTATCCTCAGAAGACACAAGTTTGCGCGTTTACCACTAAAAAGAACCGCTTTGTCGTATCTCCTCAGTTTCAAGGTACTCCCCTTGTTGCCTCAGCCAGTATCGGAATCCTCGGCGTCGATATATCGAGTAACCGCATCCAGCGCAGAGCGGCTCGAATCGTCGACGACCGAGTCCTTTCCGATCGGCTCGACTCATTGGCACTGCGAAGAGATGTTGCATCTCTTAGCATTTTCTTTCGCATTTACCATGGGGAGTGCTCTGAGGAATTGTTCAGATTAATCCCAGCCGCCAAATTTCACGAACGCACATCGCGGCAGAACTCCCGATACCATCCACACCATCTGAATGATTGGCGATCCACCACTGTGCGATTTAGAAGATGTTTTCTTCCTCGCACAAATTCCTTGTGGAATAGTTTACCACCAGCGATTTTTCCGGACCGATACGACTTAGGGACCTTCAAGAAAAGAGCCTACTCCTTTTTAAAAGGCCGGCAACGCATCTGCAATTCCCCTGGTGTTGCGGTTGTTCATGGGCGGCGGTAGTCACTTACCATCAGGTGAGCCGCATGCTCGTTTGCCCCCTCTCCTATAAAAAAAACCTTGTGAAAGAAATAAACTTTTTTTTATTTAAATCGCACTTGTTTTTAAATCAATACATATAAATTAAATTGAAGTGTATGTCTGTGATATTTAAAACCTATCCGTTGGGTTATTTTGGTTACCTTGATTCTACTGTAGATATTACCATTTTTAAGTTTATCATGCTGAGAAACTCTGAGCTCAGCTCATTTTTTTTGACGACGACGAGTAAATGTGAGAAGTAAATAAATGTTAATTATTTTTGCCTTAGTTTCATATTTATGTCTAAAGCTCGTCCTACATACATTTTCTCAACACACACAGGCGCTGTCGCTTAATGTATTGTAATTAAAGATAGCAGTACGAACATCCTAAATAAATACTGTTACAATAACAATGAACTTCTAGTTGCGTCTGTGCTCGCCGAGATAAAAATACAATTTACTAAATTACTTTTACACGCTTCAAGAAATGATTTAAGGATGTAAATATTTAATGAAGCGTCGCTGTGTAAATAATTACTTCGTTCTATAATTTTGTGTCTGAGCGCTCAATTTCAGAGTATGCGAAAAACCCGGTTTCGAACCCCAACAGTCCTAATAAAATTGTTATTTGCAACATTATGTGCTAATTTACCACATGCTCGGTAGTGAAGAAAAACATCTCGAGGAATCCTATATGTCTGAGGAATAAAAATGTATCAAAGAAACTTGAAAATTTGGCTAAAGCAGCGCGCTATACTTATTACTCCTCAACCATCTCAGAAATGAGAGGAAGTTCCTATATTCCCATACCTATTCCTGTAGGCTGTATAAATAATATTAATATATAATATGTAAACTTCATATAACTTATGATAGTCCAAAAGATTGGACAACTAGTATATCTACTGATGACAGATAAATACTCTTAAGAAGCAGACGTAGGTCAAAAGTGCGACCTTATCTTGTTTTTTTTTCTTTTCATAGCAATAACTTAGAAATAAAATAGTTAACAATAACTTTAAATAGTATGGATATTTTTATCTGTAACTACGTAGCCGTTATATATATTTGCAAAAAACAAAAGTTAATATTTACTTGTTAAAAAAGGAAAGCTCACAGTCCACCAGATGGTAAGTGGATGCTATAACCTGGGGAAATACATTCACGAGTAAAAATCAAAACTTATATTCGATTTAAAGAAACAAAATGCAGATGCATTGTCACTCCTGAGAACTAGGATAGAATGCCTCGTAACCAGTAAACTTCACTCACCATACTAAAATACGAAACTTTTTTATAGAATTAGGGTGATAAACGAGCATATAGTCCACCTGATGGTAAGTGGTTGCCGTGGCCCATAGTCATCTACATCTATCTTCGATTGCGAATTAAAATGCAGATGCGTTGTTAGCCGTGAGGACTAAGATGTCGTAAGAATGTCTCTTTTCCAGTAAAATAGGTCCCTGGGTCTCTACACTCACCATACGAAACACAGCAGCATTAAGCTGCTATTTTACGCTGGTATTCTGTGAGAGCACATTCCTTCCCAGTCAATCCAACCCATGCATGCTGCAGCGTGGGTCTACCCTGTTAAGGTCTATGCCCAGCAGAAAAAAGTTTTAACTGTACATTAACCTTTTATAAAATTATTTTTTTTAAACAAAGGAATTAAATAGCAACAAATCTGCACCAGTCGCATCGTTCCTTGAATTCGTGGCGGCGAAATGAAAAACAATTTTTATTTTCTTTGCAGTACAACTCGCTTCGGTTGATTGCATCCGGTTAATAACAATTCACTTTTGTTGACTAAAGTTTTAATGAAGATAAATGGAGAACCAAAAATTATTACTAAAGAAGAGAGAAGGTGGGGCGGTGAAATCAAACGCGTGCCATGGTATCGTAGAACAATAACTATATTGTCAATTATACTATTCGTATCTATAGTCACTCCTTTCCAATAATGGTGGACGCCCTTAGCACGTCGGACATTACTATACTCTTTGGCCGAATGCCTCGTTGGCCTAGGAGTTGTAGTAGTGCGCCTGCTGATCATGAGGTCCCGAAATTCTCAGTACCTGCCCGGAGTACTGAAGTTAGCGGTGTCTTACCCTCGTGCCTCAGAAAACTCGTAAAGCCGTTGGTCCTGCAACTGATCTCTCTCCGGTCGTGACGCTGTACCATCCCATCGGACTGTCAGAGTGAGTGCACCTGTGCTTGTGCATACACTTAGGCACTATAATCCTATCCTGCGCCGACGGCTAGTTTCCGTTGAAGCAGGACGCAGTGACCGAAATTCGGTCTGGAGGACATTATTATTACTCTTTGGTCAGTGGCGGTTCGCGAGCGCAGGTCATTGAGTTTCGATAGACCAGAAATTAATTCCTTATTTTACATTGCAGTATTCTGATTTTTACTGTGTATAAATGATTTAATTTTTTGAATAAAATTTATTATCAATTAGGTAAAATTATTTGTATCTCATATATGATCGAAAGATAAAAATTAATCCTTTACAGTCACATGTTGTTTCATGACTATCTCAAACTTAAACTTACACACAAACGTATCTAACTTATAATACTAGTAAAGATTGGTCGATGTAATTATCACAATTATTTCGAGTGATAAGCAGAAAAGAGCCCATTCGCGAAATGCCTGTATATATTCATAATTCATACAAACAGGCAATCATAGGTCACATGCAGTACTGTCAATCGTTTAATCCGGAACGTTCATAAAACGTAATTTCAATCAATACTTTCATGCGACCCGGGTCAACGGAACGGATGCGAACGGATCATTCACGATTGACACATACTTAGTCCCTATTTGTGGAGTCTAATTTATGTCATGTTGGTGCTGTTATCGTGTAAGCTCTTACACTATTGTAATTTGATTTTTAATTTTAATTTGAATAGTACTTCATTATTTATTTTGAAATAATTAAAACGCTGTCGCATTATAAAGGATATGTGGCGCCATCTCTTGGTGAAGTACCTTACTAAATGTAATATTATGTTACAATAACATTTATGGTTGTAATCCCAATAAAACCATTGTGAAAGTGTACCTTTTTGATGAAAATACTTAGTAAATGTGTTATACGTAAACAAGGGTGAATTTTTTGATCTTTTGCAACTGTTTTCATAATGTTCCGGGTCTGATATTCAACTTCCTAAGTATGAATATGTCGAGTCTTAAGTTAAACAAAAGTAATTTATCTAATGTTATACGGAAATATTTATAGGCTTTGAAAAAACCCACAAAATATATGAGATTTCTATTTACCTCTCATCAGGGGGCAATGAAAACACTTGAGGGGTGATTAGAAAATTTTTATAGGGCTGTCTCATTATAATTAGTTTTATTTTAGGTTTAGATAAGAAAGTCAAACGCAAATAATAAAAAGAAATAATGTTTATTAAAAATGTAACAACAGTTGTTCTTATAACTATGAGATCAATTTCAAACTAATATAAGGAAGTAACATAAGAATTGTAAATTTACACTGTAGCATAATTTAAACTAAGTTACATTTTGAAACTTATAAAATTATATTTTGTATATCTACTCGGCAGTTTCAGTATTCTTATCAAAGTCTAATTAGTAAACATTATCATCAGTTAAAGCTTTTAAAATGTCAGCATCACTTTTACAATAACTCCCTCGTCGTAAAGTTACTAGTTTTGTAACTTTGGTGGTCTGACTCCCTTTTTTACCCTTTTTTACGCTAACTAGAGTATCCAAAGGTATTTTTTTGTATTTGTCTAGACTCACTGCAGGTTTATCATTATCGACCTTTTGTATGGAAATAATATTATTTTTTTATCTTTGACACTTTTGTTTTCTTTTACTTCTAAAGACTTGCTGTTATCATATGCACACATCTTACCCGTTAAAGGATTTATTAATTCATTAAATAAGTTTTCTGGTTCTATATAAATAACATAATATGCGCTTGTTACATCTTGATCAATGTAGTTGTTAATCAGTAGTTCTTCATCTTTTTGTTGAGAACTATTGCCCCAATAATGTCATGAGAAAATGGTTCTACACGACTGCTTTCGTTATTTAATTTTACATCTCCACCATTGACATCAGTTTCTGAACAGCTGAAAGCACATTCATCCACATATACAGCAGGCAGCAAATTTATTGTATCAATGTATTTTTGTGTATTTGCTTTCGATGTATTTGTTTTAGTTTCCATGTCTTTCGTTATCAAATATTTTTTATTAGGTTTATCACCTCCATTTTTTTGTGGTTTGTCTTGCATTTGGATACTTGGTCAGACATTTTCTTCTTCCTTATTATTTCATTTTCAGGGTCTGTGTTTTTGATTTCTTCATTATCAGGTTCATTACTTTTGCGATCTAAATTGACTGCTTTTCCAGGAATTACTTTAATTTTTTTTCCCTCTTACTTTGTTTACGGTTTTTTGATTGCTTATTCGTAATTTCGTTGTCAGATTCAGATTCCAAATTTTCATCATCTATGTTTCTTAAACTTTTTCCAGATTCTACATTCAATTTTCGTTTATGTGATGGTTTTTTTATATTTATGGTGCCATATCTCATTTCGTTTAGTATTTCCAAAACTGATTTATCAACTGCATATCTTGACTTATTCGGGTCTTCCGTATTATCTTTAGGAAGTCTTGAAAGGATTTGATCACAATCGATAGGAATGATCCCTGCTTTTCGAAAGCCTGCTTTGAGATTTGATTTAACATTTTCTTCCATGTTATTTAAAAGCTGTTTCAACAATCTGGGGAAGCATCCATTGGGTACTGAAGCTTGGGTTCTACCATCTGTTTTTTTCCACCTAAGTAAAATGTTTCTCCAGGCAATTTTCATTGGCCTGAAGAAAGCAATATCAAGGGGTTGTGTTAAATGTGTAGAATTTGCCGGTAAGAATACAAATGAGATCTTATTTTCTTCACAAATTCGAATGACTTCTATTGACAAATGAGATGATAAATTGTCACAAATCAGCATTTTTTTCCAGGTTTGTCTTGAAATAATGGGATTATTATGGACTTTATATAATCTTCAAAAGTGCTGCCATCGATTCATCCAGATGCAGTTCTATTGTAGCGTGTGCATTTGGGTCCGCCCATAGTGCAAGTGTCGTAAACATTGCTAGCTTTATAAATTACATATGGAGGCAAAAGCTCTCCTGCAGCTGTACCAGCCATCATTATTGATATAGAAGATTTTGATTGATTAAAAACTCTTTCAGGGTACTTTGTTCCCCTTTTGACAATAACCTTCTTACGCTCTGGGTCATCACTGAGGTTGGTTTCATCATAATTGACAATGTTTTTTGGGTCAATTTCTTTACGTGTCTTCTCTAACTCCCCAAAGTAATCCTAAATTGTATCCGGAGAAACTTGAGCCCTCGACTTTTTGATATTTTGACATATTCTGAAAGAAATAGAATCCTTATATCTTTTTAAGAATCTTGTGACATAATCTGGTCCAGGCATATTGTTTTTGAAACGCTTGTTAGTGATACCCATATTATCCAAATATAATTTCACCATAATTCTTAAGTCAATATTGTATAATATGGCGTTTTGTATCATCGTCTAAAGCATTTTGTCCACCTTGCTTTTTCATCGTTTTCCTATTATGTCGATATAAAACTGATTTGTTAATGTTGTATTTTTTTGCAATAGCTGATATTGAAATGTTTGGAGTGGTTTTGAATTCTTCCAAAGCTTTTTTGATTGTAGTCTCATCATATTTTCGATACTGCTTGCCTCTTGGATCTGGCTTATAATTTCGAGGCATCTCGAGGTACCTGAGAATAAAAAAATAGAATCAATAACAATGGTTTTTAAAATTTAATTTTAAACTACATAAATGTTAAGTGACGCAAATAAAGATCAACGACAATCGTTTTCAAAGGTAAGTAGGTACCGGTCTACATAAAATATGGTGGCAACCCTACCTTAAACATAACTAATCACCCCTTTTTTGTAACTAATCACCCCTTTGCTGTAACTATTGACCATATTCGCGTATCCATTAACCCTTCAGGTGTGTCTATTCACCCCATTTGTGTATCTAATCACCCCGAAAATTTGAAGAAAATAAGGCTTACGAAAAAACATCGAATTTACATAGTTATTCATATTCTTACCTTAATTTCTGCAACAAAATATGTTCACAATACCACAGGCAGTAATTAAAAGCCAAATTTAACCTAAAAACACCAAACTGCAATTATATAACAGATGATGAAATTCACGAGCACCTGTTCACTTATTTTACCGTTAACTTTGACGTTTGTTTTTTTTATTTTTAACAATGCTGCCATACTTAGAAGTTTGCCAGACGAAGAAACACAATACTACCATTTCAGTACAATAGCGGAATTTTTATAGGGCCAGCTGAGCTTGCCACATAAAATGTTTGAAATTATACCCAGTATTTTCTTCTATTCCCCCCGTCAGTTCTATTCACCCTGGTTTACGGTATTTTAAGTTTTTAATGTACTAACGACCCGCCCTGGCTGTGCCTGGACAGTGTCTATGAATGTGACGTTATTTAGATTCAAGACAGTCTAAGATTATTAATTTTATCAAGTTTTTTTTTTTAAACAAAAGTCTAAGTGCTGTTTTCGAGAGTCATTACGAATCGTCTCGTACGCACACTCGACGACTTCCAGCCTCCCGAACAAGCAGGTTTCCGTAAAGATTTTAGTACCATAGACCACATACATACCCTTCGCATAATTGTACAGAAGATCGAAGAGTCAATCTGCTAATTTTGTGGACACGTACGCAAGGAAAATGAAGAAGAGAAAGTCTTTGATTTCGTCGAAATTTGGGCGGTGCTACAGTCCCTTCAGAGGTGCCGAGTTAACTGTCGGTATATCAAGTGCTGAAGAGCTTGTACAGTAGGTCTGCGATGGCTATCCGAGAAAAGAACTTTATATTAATGCAAACCAATACGGCTATGCGTCTATGCACCAACCAAAACGATAAATTATTCAATTTAACATTTTTTTTCATTAGCGAGCATTAATATTTTTTTTATACGATAAGGGTACTTTATAATATAATATAATATAATATCTTTTATTTCATTAAGCATTTCACAATTTGCATAAGGTAGGGAGCGTCTTTTAAGCACCTTAAGGCACTTGTGTCAGAGACTCCCGCTCTTCCATAGCTATACAAAACTTTCTAAAAACATATAATTACATATTATACAAAGAAAAAAAAACTAAAAAAACAAAAGTAGTTTAAAATTATTCAACAATAAATGTGTGTGTGTGTGTGTGTGTGTGTGTGTGTGTGTGTGTGTGTGTGTGTGTGTGTGTGTGTGTATGTGCGTGTTTGTTTGTGTGTATGTGTGTGTTTTTTGGGAAATATTATTTTCACCTTATGTGTTGAAACATAAAAGTTTTTTTTTTTTTTTTTTTTTTTTTTTTTTTTTTTTTTTTTTTTATAAGAGAGGGGGCAAACGAGCATGCGGCTCACCTGATGGTAAGTGACTACCACCGCCCATGAACAACCGCAACACCAGGGGAATTGCAGATGCGTTGCCGGCCTTTTAAAAAGGAGTAGGCTCTTTTCTTGAAGGTCCCTAAGTCGTATCGGTCCGGAAAAATCCCTGGTGGTAAACTATTCCACAAGGAAGTTGTGCGAGGAAGAAAACATCTTCTAAATCGCACAGTGGTGGACCGCCAATCATCCAGATGGTGTGGATGGTATCGGGAGTTCTGCCGCGATGTGTGTTCGTGAAATTTGGCGGCTGGGATTAATCCGAACAATTCCTCAGAGCACTCCCCATGGTAGATGCGAAAGAAAATGCAAAGAGATGCAACATCTCTTCGCAGTGCCAATGAATCGAGCCGATCGGAAAGGGCTCGGTCGTCGACGATTCGAGCCGCTCTGCGCTGGATGCGGTCAAGTGGAAGGAGCTGGCACTGGGGAGCCCCTGCCCAGAGATGGGAACAGTATTCCATGTGAGGCCGAACCTGCGCCTTGTAAAGTTGCAGGCGGTGTGCCGGCATGAAATACTGTCCCGCTCTGCTGAGCACGCCAAGCTTTTTAGAGGCCAATTTGGCCTTCTCTTCCAAGTGACCACGAAACTGCACGTCACTCGATATGTCGACTACGAGGATACCGATACTGGCTGAGGCAAGAAGGGGAGTGCCTTGAAACTGAGGAGATACGACAAAGGGGTTCTTTTTAGCGGTAAACGCGCAAACTTGTGTCTTCTGAGGATTAAACTGGACTAGATTTAGTCGCCCCCAATCCGAGACTTTGTCCAGCAAAGACTCGACTTCAGACACAAGTTTGTTCCGGTACTCGGCGACGTTTTCCCGAGAAATATTGGCCCGGCCGGTGTATAGAGCATCACCAGTGCTGTCATCCGCATAGCAATGAATGTTACCAGTTAGCAACATATCATTGATATGCAGAAGAAACAGCGTTGGTGATAGCACACAGCCTTGTGGAACACCAGCGTTAATAGGCTTGTAGTCAGAACATGCACCGTCTACAACGACCTTGATGCTCCGATCTGCAAGAAAGCTGGTGATCCAATTGCACAATTTCTCGGGAAGCCCATAGGAAGGCAGCTTCGAAAGAAGCGCTTTGTGCCAAACCCGATCAAAGGCCTTCGCAATGTCCAGACTAACGGCCAACGCCTCCCCCTTGGACTCTACTGCCTTCGCCCATCTATGGGTCAGGTAGACCAGAAGATCACCAGCTGATCGACACCGACGAAAACCGTATTGGCGGTCACTAATCAGCTGGTGATCCTCAAGGTACCGGATGAGCTGGCAGTTAATAATGGATTCCATTATTTTGGAGAACAAGGAGGTGATCGCGATAGGCCTATAGTTGGACGGGTCTGAGCGGTCGCCTTTTTTAGGGATCGGGTGGACAAAAGCTGTCTTCCATGAATTCGGGACTACGCCTTGGGAGTAGGAGTACCGGAAAAGACGCGTTAGGACCGGTGCCAACTCCGGAGCACACGTCCTCAGCACAATTGGGGGGATTCCGTCAGGCCCACTCGACTTCTGGATGTCCAGGGAGAGAAGTGCTTTGCGAACTGAGCGCTGTGAGAATAGCACATCCGGCATGGAGCACTCACACCGCGGGATTGTCGGCGGTATTTTCCCCCCGTCATCAAGAGTCGAGTTGGACGCAAAAAGGGAGCCTAAAAGGTCGGCTTTGTCTTTTGCGTCTTGGGCCAGTGAGTCGTCCTCCCTGTGCAGAGATGGTAGTGATGGCATACAGAAATTCCCTTGGACAGCCTTGGCGAGAGACCAGAATGCACGGGTTCCCGAAGGAAGGCGAACTAGTTTCTCGCCAATTCTGCCTATGTGCTCTGACTTTGCCCTGGCAATAACTCTTTTGAAGGACCTGGAGGCGAAGTTATACTTCTTTTTAAGTGTGCTGGTGTTTACATCCCGAGTCACCGAAGCCGCAGCCCAGGCTTGATAACACTCCTGCTTACTGCGCAATGCAGTCTTACAGGAGCGACCAAACCAAGGCTGAGATCTGCCTCCGATGGGTACCACAGATGATGGAATAAATAGTTCCATTCCCTGTAGCACCACATCAGTGACAGAGTCAGCAACAGCACTGGGATCATCCGGCGAGAAGCAAACCCGCCCCCATGGGTAGGATGCAAAGAAAGACCGCATTCCGTCCCAATCCGCCGACCTGTAATGCCAAACACGGCGGCAACCTGCAGAACGCAACCGCGAAGGGAGCGTGAGTGGCACCATACTCCGGATCAGACAATGGTCCGAAGAGCCGAGAGGGGCATCGACGGAAACCTGATATCCGTCCGGATGAGAGGTCAGCAGAAGGTCCAACAGGGAAGGTGTATGATCCTCCACATCTGGAATCCGCGTAGGCGAAGTAACCAGTTGTGTCAGACCATATGCCAAGGCAAAGTCATAAACAGATCTTCCCGCATGATCGGTTAAGCGTGAACCGAGCCATTCGGCATGGTGGGCGTTAAAATCGCCAAGGATCACGATCTCTGCGGATGGGACCTGTTGTAGCAAGGAATCTGTAGCCATTTGGACGTGGTCGATGAGTCGGTCTGTTTCGGCATTACCGCTATGGGACCTATAGAGGCACCCGTAGACGCGCGGATGGTCGTCGCTGTCTACGCGTAGCCAAAGGATGGACAGGTCCGAACCTTCAAGACTGCCGAGGCGTCGAGAACAGATGTCCTCTCTAACATACACGCAAACTCCAGCCCGAGGCACAAAGGAGTGCTCCAATTTGTACCCCGGGTAGGAGAGATACGAAATATCAGTAGGAGAGGAAACCTGCGTCTCGGTCAAAAAGAGCAAGGCCGGCTTCGCCGTCTCGAGATGGTAGTGGACGGCGTTTAGGTTAGAGTGAAGTCCCCTGATGTTGCAGAAATTCACGGATAGCGTGGCAGGGGTCGCCTTGGTATTGTTGCTCAGCTTGCCCCGAGCAGTTTTGTTTTTGAGCGGAATTTTGCCCCCCCCAGAATACGCGGGGCAGCCTGAGCACCCACGCTCAGGATTGGAATAACATGGTCGTGGATGCTCAGCGAGGGATTCTCCAGGGGTACTGGTACCCTCCTGGGGTAGTCTATTGTCTAATTCCGCTACCATGTTGATGGGGGGGGGGGGGGGGGGGGGGGGGGGAATTGGGCCTCCGGCCACCTGCACTCACCAGACGAAACGCAGAAGCAGAGCCTCTACTTCACACCGGTATTCTGTGAGGTCGTGGTACCAACCCGGCTCGAGCCGGCCCATACGTGCAACAGCAAAAAACTGCTGC